AGTGATCTGTGCGCTCAACCCACCTTTGTCACGTGAGGTTTGAATATATGCAACTTTATGTGAGTGTCTTTATTTGTGGAAAAGGGTCTTTGTCTTACCAGTGGGTCCAACATTACACACACCAAATCCATCTGTGCTCATATGAGAGAGTGTGGAGGACGCTCAATGCAGCGCTTACAGTGACACTTGTTGAGGAGCTGCCTTCTGTCGCCATCGTGTGGCATTACTGTCTTCAGACATCTCTTGATATCTTTGACTACTTCACGAAAATAGTAATACGCCTCGCCTGTGGCGGATTTAAAGGCAAGGAGAGGAGCTTATGTGATTGGTGAAAACAGGTCTCTGCTGTGTTAAACCAACTCCACGCCGTCTCTCCTCCCTCGCTACGACTTACGCTGCTGGGAGGAGCTGAGTTAGGGAGGGGGGATACTTACGCCAGGCTGTGCCGCTCACCAAAATACCAAATTGTGCTTGGAAACGCCTTGTCGGCGCGGCGGACCTGACTTACGCTGCGCTTGCGGCACGTCTCGGGCGAGGCACGAAAATAGAGCCCTACGTCTTAATGGAGCTCAGGGACCAGAGTATACCAGCATCACCAAAACTCTAATTTTTACCCTCCACCTCACACTGACTAAGAAGAGTTTTTATAAATTTCCACTTTGCCAGGTGGTCGCAGAAACCGGTAGTGATATGAGACTCTGTTTCATACATACATGGTAGTTGGAGTCTCATGTAACAGAACCAGGTGAGGACTCAGCACTCTCATGTAGAGTATACAGTAAGTGTTTAATGGTGATCCAGGACCTTCAGAAAACCAACATGACACATGGCATTGACTCTGATCAATCTCTGTGCTCTGATTGGACAGCTCAGAATTTCAGATTTCAATTTTTATCCTGTCATGATCTTTATAAATAATCTGTGAGTGTTGAGATTAATCATTTACAGATCATCACTCTGCTCCCTGTGAGTGTGACTGTGTGTGTGTGTGTGTGTGTGTGTGTGTGTGTTTGTGTGCTTGTTTTCTCACTATTTCATCTGCTCTAATCAGACAAAAACCACACACACTCATATAACACACAAAAACTCATGGCCTCTTATCCTCACACAGAAGGAAATAGTGTGACAAATACACAGGTCACACAGCTATCAGTGTGTGTCTGTGTGCGCACACACACACACACACACACACACACACACACACACACACACACACACACACACACACACACACACACACACACAGAGAAGACAGCCATGTTGGCACTCTCCATCTGACATGTTGTTTATCACAATGCAGAGCTCTTATTATATATTTAAAGGACCTTTTGAAATGATTATGAAATGATTATGAGCTTTTGGCCCGCCAGAGGAGGAAAACAAAAAGATAAGGGTAAGCAAGCATACAAAGAAACTAAGGGAAGGAGAGAGAGAGAGAGAGAGAGCGTCTCTGGAGCAAAACAAAGGAGAACAAATAAACGACCGGCTTTTGGAGCAGCAAGATGACAGAGGGGGAGGAAAGAGAGAAGGCAGGAAGAGGAGGAGGAAGAGGAGGGGGTCTTTGTTGTCTCGCTGTTGTCGTTGTCACTTTGAGCTTCCTGTATTTCAGCGACACAAAATTTGAGTCTAGAAGGAGCATTTGAAGAGTGAAGAGAAACATACAGAGCTAAAGAGCCTAGGGAAGGAGGAGAAGGAGGAGGAGGGCTGAAGTCTGGGTCTATATGATCAGCAGATATTATGAAATACATACTTATGCTGCATTAACACCAAGAGCAAATAACATCACTTGCTTAAGTCCCAAAAAGGATTTTTAGGAGGTCAGGTATTTCAACTCTCGCAAATAAGAGAATAAAGTAAATATTGTGTATGTAAACTACATGTATCAGGACAGACACAAGAAACAAATCACTCCTTTCTATGCCTGTTAAATATGATTCAAGTAGTACTTATGAAGATTTATTCCAGGCTTTACTGCCTTACTTTTTGTTTTTAGTATTGATCCTGGGCTACATAACTCCACAGGGTCAACTACACAAAAAACTTATGATTTGCATTAACAACTTAGCAGATATTAAAAACAGTGTAATTAAAGACATTTCACAAAATTCAAAAAGCTCCATTAAATTCAAAAAGTTTCATGAAATTCCTCACACACACACACACACACACACACACACACACACACACAAATTCCTTACCCCAACCAACAATACGATCTACAGTCAACAGTCACACACAGTCTCATCCAAAGCCACACGTACAAACACACACACCAAAGCATCCGCAAATACACACACTAAGGTAGTGGACATGAGGCTGAGTACAGATGAACCACAGCCACAAGACACCGACACAGGGCCAGAGGACAGATGTGGCAGACACCGACCTCCACCAAGAACCCCGTGACTGGCCCCTACAACCACAGTGCCGAGGGCTCCCTCAGTGGAAACAGTGGGGGTCCTAAAAATGATGAAAGGATAAAAACAAGTAAAAAATAAGATATGAATACAACACAGACCATCTTAGTGACAATTGAAACAAATAAATATAAACCTAGGCTATGCTAGATAAAACAAATAAATATTAATTAAAAGCTAAGCTAAACAGGTGGGTCTTGAGCCTGCTCCTAAAAACATGACCAATCTCTGCGGCCTTCGGGTCCTCTGGCAGGCTGTTCTATAGACGAGGGCCATAATGCTGGAAAGACGCCACACCATGAGTGTGTGTCCTGACTTTGTAAATGACGAGGTGACTGCTGCCAGAGGAGCACAGGGTCCATGAAGGTTCATAAGGTAAAAGCAGTTCTGAGAGATAAGAAGGCCCAAGATCATAAAGACATTTAAAAATAAGTAAAGGAATTTTAAAATTGATCCTAAAACACATAGGCAGCCAATGCAATGATTCTAAAACCGGTGTAATGTGGGCCCACCTCCTGGTCTTAGTCAGGACAAGTGCTTAATACTTCTAAATATTTAGTAAATATTAAATATTTCTCTAAACTCCAAAAGTCTGAAAAAAGGCAAAATAATAATAAAACTTGCCTACTGCTCTCTGCAGGTACGTCAGTGTTTCTAGAAAAACTTTCCATTAACAGGTTCATCACTGAACAGAGTTTGCACAAATCTAAAACCTGAATTCTCAGCACTGACTGTAGAGAATGGGATCTGAGTCTCTGTGAGATTGACAGCAGCCGCTACGCTTGTAACTCTGACTTAACAAAACTTTCTGTCAACTTACCAAGAGACACAGTTTGGTTTAAAAACACCCGTCTCATGTTTGAGTCACTATGGTATCAAAACTGTTGAACTTACATCAGGTGAAGTGATCAACATCACAGGTGACCACACACAAAAACACAGCTTGAGTTATATTTGACTTTAAGTGTTTTTGATGATTTTTATTCTGACATGCCCCCTTAAGTTCTTCAGGATCTTCTTTAAAGATCATAATTCATTGCCTAATCGTGTAAGTGTATTTTAGGTCACATGATGCTCAGTGTTCGTCCCGTATGAGTCCCTGTAAATCAAACCATGTCTGTGTTTTTAGAGAAAACATCTGGACTGAGTTTAGGAGACATTTCCACAAAAATCAGCTTTTACCTGATTGCCAAACCTTAGAAACTTAGTACTGCAGATTTTCGATGTGAGTTTTTGTGTCGTGCGGATCAGCAGCAGTTCAGCCCTCTGTCTGAGGCTGTGAGAAGGAAAAGAAAGCTTCCTCTTCCATCTTCTCCCTCTCTCGCTCTCCTTCAGTGGCTGAACACAATAGCTCTCCGCCCGGCCCTGCCAATCCCACAATGCCTGGCGGTGGGTCTGGCAATAATTCAGGGCAGGACTAAACAGCTGGCTGCCTGACAGGAGAGCTGCCAGGAGCTGGCAGTGAGCGGCGGGCTGCTAACCCTTTCACATTTTTAATTAGAGCCACACAGCCTCCTCGTAAATACACCCATGACACGCCGAGCATCATTTGTTCAGAAATATTTGCTTACAAAATACTTTCTCTGGCCTCAAACTTTTTTTTTTTTTTTCTCAGGTTGTAAGAATATCTACCACTGAGGGAGTCTGATAAACAGAAGCATGGGATAACTTCTTCATTTCGATCCAGACAGAAGAGGACTAAAGTGACAAACAGCCAGACCAGGAGACTCTGCAGCTTCTCTTCATCACTAATTTACTGATTTCATCATCTAACCCTCAGACCCTTCTGATGGAACAAGAACCAGATCTTCATCATCAGCTGTCCTGCTGTCCTTTAACAGTCTGAGTCTGATTTTGTTCAGTGGCTGATTTGATCATTTAATAATAATAATAATAATAATAATAATAATAATTATTATAATTCATTTTATTTGTACAGCGCTTTTAAAAACGCTCAAAGATGCTTAAAGTTCAGTAGTTAGTTCATATTGCTCTGAGAACCATTTCTTTCACCTGGTCTTCTTTGTTCAAGTGTGATGCCTACATTACCCACAATGCAGCTATAATTCCACAGTCTCGCCAAAGTTTGAGAGGTAGAAACAGACTCTGCAAAAACCTCCCTGTACTTCAGCTGAATATGAAACGCCTTATGATATACTTACAACCCTTGAAGGCACTAAGTATTATGAAAATGTGTCGTTCCCACTGTTGTCTGTGTCTCACAGTTTTGATTACACTGAGGCACGATGGGTAAAAAGCCTGTCCAGGAGTGGTGAGCTCACCCTCAGTGCCAGATAGACACAGCAGCACTGATTGAGGGAGCAGACATTGTATGGTGTCCAGAGTTATCTAGTGGATCTATTGTAGATATATGCTGTATATAGTTAAGTCACATCTGTTAATTTTTGATGCTGTCTAAATTATTTGCAAGAGTTACTGACATGTAAAGCCAAAATAAAGACACAGTTGGGTGCAAGTTCTTCAGCAACACAAATGTGCAACAGCATAAACTGTGCAAATCAGGTAAAGTGAAACACAGTTATGATGCAAATTCACAATGCATTCAGAAAATTGGCCAATCAGCACGAAGATCCCCAGTGACATACTGTATGTAATGAACGGACTTGTGGAAATTCAGAGACTTGGACTGTGGAGGAATCAAATCCCCAAAACCAAGCCTGAGACCAGGGGACTCAAACCCTCACATGTTTGAGAAAAGCTGTGTGATATTCTGTTTTAGACTACCTTAAAAATGTGAATTTGTTGAAGAGTTATGGGATCTTGCAGCATTGCCCCTTAGTTTTTGTAATCCTGGCAAAAATTATTTGAAATAACAACCATCAAAGTTCCACAAATATTCTGAGCAATGACTTAAAACAAGCACAAACACAGACACAGGACCTTTATTTCTGTGAAAGCTAAAATCCTACAAATGAGAAGATCAGATATTAGATCAATTCTAACTGTTCTCACTTTTACACTGTTTTGGATCAGATGTTTTTATTTCAATCTGTCGGACAAAGAAGTCTAGATCCTAAGCTTTATTCTTGGATTTTTATGCTCAGTTTTTACAGATTTTATTAAGTTTGACCTCAGGTTAATTCTTGGAGTAAATATTTAAATATAATTCATAAATAAATAGCAGTAAGTGTCTGAAGTGTTACGTCTCAGACTTTAAAGCATCCTTCTCCCTTTTAACACTCTTTGATAGATGTCAGTAGACCCATGGTACAGTATGGACCTTGTCCAGCTCTGCAGGCTGTGGGCTCACTGTTAAAACCAGGACAGTGTGGTTTGAATGGAGGAAGTCCTGAAGACAAAAGGACGAGTGTTTAGCGGAGTGAGGGCAGCATGTGCGGCAGGGATTACCACCAAATTATGACTGCAAGACGCCTCGCCATCTGGACGCAGAGACAGAGAGAGAGAGAGGAGGAGGAGGAGGAGGAGAGAAAAGGAGATGGTAAAGGAAGGATGCTTTTGTTCAGCTGAGATATCTGCGTGAATGTTCAGGCTTTATATGAACACATTGGCTGTCCTTGAATCTCCATCAGAGTGAGGCGGGTCGATTGTCTTAAGACGTTCATGTTGTTTTATTGTTCACTGAGAAATGAAGGGAAAGATTTCCATCAATCCTTTTACAGGATAGACTTTTCAGGTACTGACAGTAACAAAGAGCTGCTACCCAGTGATGCTACTGACCCAGAACTTATAAACACAAGAACACAAAGTTTAATACTCATCACTAAATAAAGGTCTGCCACTGTGTCTCTCAGTGTGAGACAGTGGTGGGCAAAACCGGTCATTTCAGTGAACCGGATCATTCCGGGTCGTTCAGTAAAAAGACCCGTTCATTTCGTTCTTTTCGGTCATTTGTCAGTCCGCTCGTCCCCCCCCCCCCCGCCCGCGGTCCGACGCTGTGACCGCTGCACTCTCCACTTCCCACCCCCGGTCCACTTGGTCCAACGCTGCGATCTCACTGCACTACTTGTAATACAAAATTATAGTAGGAGTAACAAAATATATAAGGTTTTTAATGGTTTTTATTATTTTGAGGTGCATTAAAAACAATAATAAAAAGTAAAATGTCAACAGACAGTGCAAATGCGTATGTCTCTCTGCCTCTGGCTGCAGCAGCAGCTGTGTGCCTTTGCGTGTGTGTGACTGTCCCGCTCGCTCCGGCTCGGCTGTCGGGCCTCGTGCGGCGGCCACTCAACTCGGTCTTTCAGTCAACTCGTTCATCTGTCTGGATCTTTCGTTCACTCGGTCTTTCAGTCAACTCGTTCACTGTCTGGATCTTTCGTTCACTCGGTCTCTCGTTCAACTCGTTCATCCGTCTGGGTCTTTCGTTCACTCGGTCTTTCGTTCAACTCGTTCATCCGTCTGGATCTTTCATTCACTCGGTCTTTCGTTCAACTCGTTCATCCGTCTGGATCTTTCGTTCACTCGGTCTTTCGTTCAACTCGTTCATCGGTCTGGGTCTTTCGTTCAACTCGGTCTTTCGTTCACTCGGTCTTTCGTTCAACTCGTTCATCCGTCTGGATCTTTCGTTCACTCGGTCTTTCGTTCAACTCGTTCATCGGTCTGGGTCTTTCGTTCAACTCGGTCTTTCGTTCATTTGACCCGTTCTTTCAGTCAACTAGGTCTTTCGTTCATTTGACCCGTTCTTTCAGTCAACTCGGTCATCCCGGTCTTTCAGTCAGCTCAGTAGTACTGCTGCTGCTTCTCTAAGCCCCACCCACACACAGAACGAGGCGCGACGATAGGATAAGACAGGCAAGCAGTCCCTCTTCAGCCAATCAAAAGAACTGAACGGATTGAACGGGTCATTTAGGGGGGGAGAACTAGTTCATTTCGTTCATCAAAAAGAACTAGTTCTTTTGATCCGTTCGTTCAAGACCGACAAACCACTAGTGTGAGAAGGTCTGCAAGAGTCTGGGACAGTGTGGGTCAGCCTGGGATAGCCTGGGACAGTCTGGGGTAGTCTGTGATGGCCTGGTATAGCCTGGGACAGTCTAGGACAGCATGGGATATTCTGGGACACTCTAGGACAGCATGGGATATTCTGGGACAGCCTGGGATAGCCTGGGACAGTCTAGGACAGCGTGGGATATTCTCGGACAGCCTGGGATAGCCTGGGACAGTCTTGGGCAGCCTGGGCCAGTCTGGGATGGCCTTGGACAGCCTGGGACAGTGTGGCACAGCTGTCAGAGTCTTATAGTTAATCCAAAAGTCAACTCCAATCTTCCTAAACTTAACCAAGTACTTTGGGTACCTGAACTCCTAAATCCTCGATCCAGAGAGGCTTACCTGTTTCTGTAGCTGTTTCTCGCCCCACTCTGCTCAACTGACTGTGTCTCACCTGTCTGACACTGAACAGGGAGTTTGATATGAGTTTAAGAGGCCAAAGCGCTAAAATCAGCCTCCGGTTTGGGCTAAAATCAGGTGTGGATCTTGGACCTTAGAAAACACAAACAGGCTGAAACAGAAATCTCCTCCTTTAAAGCAAACTGTGTCCATCTACTTCAAGTCCAAACCTTCCTGTTAAACACAAGAGAAACTGAAAACTCTGCAGTTTTTTTGTCTGATAGGAGCAATATTTATCTCAGAAGTGTACCTGGACTCTGTAGGTAAATGTGGCTTTTATAAAGTCTAATAAGAAATTTCCACTAAAGAGAAGTAAAAAAAAAATGTTTTGTTGTCATTACATCTTTTTTGGTATCGGTGTCACGCATAATTACATGAAGATGTGTGCTCTGTGTGTAATACTGAACTACCAAGCAAAATGAAATTTGTGTAATTCATCCTCTTCTTTGACTTTTGATTTCAGCTGATCTGAAAAAAATAGACCTCTGCTTTTACACACACATGCACACATTTCTACACACTTCCTGTCATGTGTAGGATGCTCCTGTCGTCACATAAAGAGAGGTCAGTCTAGATGAAATATGACCTATCTGGAACCTGACCGCTACAGACAGGAGGTGACCCCGGTCCACGAAGACAAAGAGTGTGTGTGTGTGTGTTTGGTTCTGTGACAGGCTTTAAGAGTAAACCTTTTCTTTTGAATTGTAACAACTATGAGTCTATGAGCTATGTAAAGTCTATGAGCTCTAACTCTACTCCTGCAGAATGTGAGAAAACATGCGCAAAATAAATAAGTATTAAAATAAGTATTTGCAAAATGTGCAAGTAATAGTGGCACTATTGTGATCATGTGAGATGCAATGAAAACAAATACTCAAGAGTGCAAATTTGCTCTAACTCAGTTTATCTGTTCCTTTTTTTATTGTTATTGTGTGTGAGTGTGTGTGTGTGTGTGTGTGTGTGTGTGTGTGTGTGTGTTGCATGATGCCTGTGTTTGCAAGGTTCCACCTGATGCAAAATCAATCAACCATCGTTTTTCACAGTTAAATCATCACTTATTAATCTGAGAACAGCTGATAATTTAGCATCATCTCCCTGCATGAAAATGGTGTATAGCATGACCTCCTCCATCCCTCAGATCAAATGTGCACATGCTGAGTATAAAAGCATGAAACATTTTTGAAGGCACAAACTGTAATAATGACAGAATAGCTGTGACTGTTTAGCCTTTACTACAGTGTGTTTGTCATAATAAGGGGCATGTGAAAACCTATAAGAGTCCATAAGTATGTGTGAATGCAGGAGCAGTAAAAACACACTGAGAAACCTCAGTTGATGTTTGGTATGAATCAGAGACAGCTGAAAGTCAAACTGCTCTTCCCCCCCTCAGAGGATCCACACCCAGACGAACTCTCTGCAGTGATTGACAGATTCTGGAGCAACATGGAGGTGGTCTATAACGTCAAAGACATCTGTCCCCTTGAGCTCCTCCTCTGTGCATTTAGGGTTTTAGCCCCCCCTTCTATTTCCAGTCCCTCCTCCCTGCAGATTGGTGCAGATCAGGAGGGATGGTTTCAGGGTGAGCACGGCCTCGCTCCAACAGGCCTGAGAGGGATCTGGCATCAGGCCCAGATGGAGACTGAAACCACTAGAGGCCCAGTGAGGACCTGTGGGGAGGGGGAGGAGAGGGGGAGATCAGAGGGGCCTGAGGTAGGCGTTAAAATACCCTCACTGGCCCTTTTGGTGGTGATTGGTCCACAAAATCACAGCCGTCAGTTTGCAGTCAGCTTCTGTGAATCATACACACGCAAGCACTCAGTTTCCATCAGACAGCAGCACGGCCTACTGCAGTAAAAACATCCATTAAACTGTCTCTTCTTCACCTGCCTAGAGTCAGTCTATTTTCACCCATTTCTAAATAAAATGATAATGCATGCTGGAACTGACTATGTGGAGAATATGGAGCTTCTGCAGCTTTTAAGAGGAGCTCATGCACAGTGCAGGTATCTCAGTGTCTTCAGAGTGAAAGATGATGTTTGTGGGCTTGAATCTAATCTTAAAATTAACCATGTGCTCCTTTGTTTTCTCTCACAGTTTTCTCTAATAGTTGCTTTTTAAAGCTGAGGGCTGTCACGATATGCTAACATCAATGAAGACTGTCTTTTTATGAAAATGCAAATTCAATGCTGTGCTTAAAATCTGCAACATCAGAATACTGTGTTAGTTCTTAGTTCCGGGTAGCTGGCAGTAGTTGCTCTCTACACTGTTGCCACCTGCCTTAAAAAGGGAACAAAGGTGCAGAAGAAGAAGAAGCAGCTGCGGCAGGGATGTAACTAGCTAGCTGGCTAGCTGAAGCAGTCCTTCAAAAGTTCCACTTTTGAAACATCAGGTCTAAGACTGGAATCCAGAAATAACTAGAGCCCCTTTGAGGTACTAATACCTTGAACATTTGTCCAGTTTCTAATATAGAAACATAATTTTTCAAGAAAGGAAATGAAGCAACCCAAAGGCATTGGAGAGGGACAGGCTGCATGCATTGAAAATATCCAAATAAAAGTATTACATGGTGAAAAAAAAAAAAAAAGCCTGCTTAGACTCTCTTTGGATTCACAATAATAGAGGGAATTTCAGTTTTTAAAAGAGCTCAATCCTTCCTGAGAGGGCTGCTTCTGGCTAGTCCACGGCTCCGGTTCATCATCATCAAATTTGCTCTAGGCATTTTTATAGATTTAAGAAAAGCTTTTGATACAATTAACTATGATATACTACTTGAAAAAATGGAAAGATATGGTATTAGAGGGGTAGGACTTAATTGGGTTAAGAGCTACATAGAAAATAGAAAACAGTATGTTCAGATGGGTGAGTATAGGTCATCTAGTTCACCCATCACTTGTGGAGTACCCCAAGGCTCCATACTAGGCCCTAAACTATTTATTGTATATATAAATGATATTTGTAAGGTCTCAAGTATTCTTAAATGTGTGTTTTTTGTGGCCGACACCAACATTTTTTGTGCTGGGAAGAATCTTCAGCAGCTGGTGGAGGAGGTGTCAGGTGGTTTGATACAAACAAATTATCTCTTAATCTGAAAAAAAAAAACACATTTATGATCTTTGGGAATAAAAAAAAATACCATTGAATACACAGGTGGAGTTAAAAATAGATCATGTAAATCTGGAAAGAGTTTATGAGAACATCTTTTTGGGAGTGATTATTGACCACAAATTCAGTTGGAAACCTCATATAAAGTATGTCCGGTCCAAAGTTGCAAGGAGTGTTGGTGTCCTAGGCAAAACAAGGCATATTTTAAATTATAAGTCATTGCTAACCTTGTATAATACTCTAATATTACCATATCTGTCTTATTGTGTGGAAGTGTGGGGAAATACTTATAGACGCAACCTTCAGCCTTTATCCATAATACAAAAAAGAGCAATAAGAATAGGGCATAAGGTAGGTTATTATGAACACACAAATGAGCTTTTCTTAAGGTCATACTCAACGAAGTTTGTAGATTTAGTTGAATATAAAACCGCTCTAACTGTGTATAAGGTAAGGAATAAAACATCCTAGAAATGTTCAGGGATAGGGAGGGAGGTTATAATCTAAGATGGGAACTGAATTTAAAACAACGCAGTGCTAATACCACTAGGAAAAGTATGTGCATGTCTGTCCGTGGTGTAAAGATTTGGAATGGCTTGACTGAGGAGGTTGAACATAGTACTACTTTCACCCAGTTTAAAAAACGGCTTAAATGTAATATCCTGCATAAATACACAAACATATCGTAGCTTAATAAGGTGTGAATGCGTGTATATATATGCATGTGTGTATATGCATGTGTATGTATATGTATGTATATATATATATGAATATGTGTATGTGTGTATGTATGTATATATGTTTATATATATAGATATATGTAGGTATATATGTAGGTATATCTATGAGACTTTATATATATATGGATTTATTTAAAATTATAATAATTCATATGATAATGATTACTAAATAATATGTAGGATTTAAATAAGTTAGAAATTTGGATCTATTTTGATCCTAAATTAAATTACATGCTTTCTGTTTCCTCTGGTTGCTGCTCCTTTTTTGTTCTGTTCTTGCATTCAGCTAGACAAACGTACTCTTTATATATTCTGAGTAACTAAACTAATTTTGGTACAAATATGAGTATGTAGGATAGGCATCTACAAGCTTCGAGCTTCTGCCTATTCCTTTTGATCACCTAACAGTGTTACAGACTGCTTTTGATGAGGTATGATTTTGTATATGTATGATTGCATTTGATACTGTGATGATGATCAAATAAACTAAACTAACTAACTAACTAATCTGAAGCTTCATCTTTGTCTGTCCTCCTTTGATGAGTGTGAAGGACCTCAGCCATGAAGTGAGGGTATCAGCGAATGCTTATATTTTAGCACAATTTCAGTATTTATTATGTTAACAAAGACGGTGACTGTCAACCCCAGTTTATCTAACTGCCCTTGTCCAGGCCAAGACTGTCAGCATGTTAAACTTGAAATTAAATTAAACAGACTTTCACCGCTGTATGGGGCTAAAACTGGAGTTATAATGTTTAACAGAAGCACACAGATTTAAGTCTCATTTGTAGTCTTAATGGGAGTTGATGCTGATTGTGTCAAAGAGGAGGAACTGCTACTGTGACAAAAATGTGAAGGAAGATGTGTGTTAGATGGGAACATTATCAAACCTGCAAAAACTGGGGCAGGTTAGACTTTATGGGCACTATTTCCGTGTCCGCCGGTGAGGCGGCGGAGGGTGGCGGACCCTGCGCAGTTGTATTTTCGTCTGGCGGAGCCCGGCGTACAGCCAGTTTGGTATTTTCGTGGACTGAGGCGAACCGAGATCCGCCAAGCTGGGCGTGGTGGCGTGGCAGGAGGAGGTGTCGACAGAATCAGCGGGCGCAGTGACATTTTCGTGCTCACCAGTGGCGTATAAAGTGTGCTGAAAGCTCGCCGATTCAAACCTGGTCAGCTTTCAGCGCAGGTGGAGCGCCGCTGGTCTAGTGGTATTTTGGTACACCGGCGGCCTATTGGCATACGTCAACGATGCCTCACAGGCAGGTTTCCACAGTGTCAGGCACATTTCAGTGCAATAAATAATCAACAACTATTAATCTGAGTCAG